TGAGAATCGATTCGATGGCAACGGGTTTGGTTTTTTGTTTTTTTTTAAGTTTTTTTTATTATAAGCCTGAGGTTTCGATTCTACTTGGGATGTATCTTTGTTAAGCGCCTACAATGTGCCAGGCGCTTGGGGTTCAGAGGTGACCAAGACTCATGGTCCCTGCCCTTGTGGCAAAGGTTTAGCGAGGGTAACGAGCACCCAGGGGCAATCTCTCAAGTTTGTACCCCCCTCAATGAGGGGGGTGATTTGCTGGCCGGCCTTATCTGGCGCCCCCTTGGATTTGCGCCCGGGGGCAAATGCCTCCCTCTAATACCCCCTTGCTGTGTCTCTGCCATGTGGGGTTCCCAGCTGGCACAGTGCATTAGGTGTGGTTGGCTGCTATCACGTCAGCCCCCAACTCATGGCAACCCCATGCACAACAGGATTGGACCGTTGTGAGTCATAGGATTTTCATCAGTTGATTTTCGGCAGTAGATTGCCAGGCCATTCTTCCTAGTCCGTCTTAGTCTGGAAGCTCCTCTGAAACTTGTTCAGCATCACACAAGCCTCCACTGACAGATGGGTTGTGGTTGCACATGAGATGCCTTGGCCAGGAATTGAACCTGAGTCTCCCTCATGAAAGGTGAGAATTCTACCACCAAACTAAAATTCAGTGGCATCTGGGGAGGTGACGTTAAGCTGTAATCTAAGAGGTGACCAGGAGTTGGCTGGGCAGAAGGCATTGTGGGTGGGCAGCCATTCTGGACGAAGGACAGAGGGGGGACGTGGGGAACTAGTCTGGTTGCTGTGGGAGGAGTGGAGAGCTGAGTATGGCCAGCAGAACATGCTGGAAGTGTGCCGCTGAACTGCAGGGGCCAGAAGAGCTTAGCGCCCAGGTACTGGGGTGGACAGGCCCAGGGCCACTCAGATAACCAAGATGGGTCCCACCCGCCTGATTTCCAGCCCTAGACATGTCTGGAATTCTGGATTCTGGACCTTGGACCACTTGACCATGCCTTGTTTTAGAGTCTGGACTTTATCCTGATGCAACGGGAAGTACATACCTGAAGGGTTTGAAGCAGGAAATGCTATGAAGAGATTTGTTCTACTACCAGTTGCCCTTGTGTCAACTCCAACTCATGGTGACCTCATGTGCATAAGAGTAGAGCTGTGCTCCCCTGGTTTTCGAAAGTGGATCCAGAGGCCTTTCTTCCAAGGGGCCTCTGGGTAGATTCGAACCTCCAACCTTTTGGTTAGCAACTTGAGAATATTCACCATTTGCATCACCCGGGGACTCCTGGGTTCTTCTAAAGATCACTCTAATTCAAATCCCATTCGACATGTGTGACCTCAGGCAAATTACTTAACTACTCCAAGTCAGTTTCTTCTCCTATGAAATGGGCCTGCTAAAAGTCCTTCCCTCATGGGCTGTTGTGAGGTTTAGATAAGTCCATGAGGTGAATGGGTGAATCGTGGAGCTACACAAGACCCTCCGTCAGGGGCAGGAAGAACTTGTTAGAAGTCTATGTACAGTGGAAAACAACAAGTGTTGGAGGGAATGTGGAGAAATTGGAACCCGCATCCATTTTGTGGGAATGTAAAATGGTGCAATTGCTTGTGGGAAACAATTTGGTAATTCCTCAGATGTTGAACAGAATTAACGTATGATCCAGCAAGTCCAAAAACTTGAAAGAAGGGACTCTGATACTTGTACACCAATGTTCGTTGCAACACTATTTACAATAGCCAAAAGGTGGAAACGACCCGACAGATAAATGGATAAACAAAATGTGGTATATCCACACAATGGAATATTAAGTGTACAATTCAGTGATGTTATTACATTCACCATGTTGTGCAACCATCACCGCTATCTCTTTCCAAGAGATTTTCATAACTCCAAATAGAAACTCAGTACACCTTCAGCAATAACTCCCCATCTCCCCCTCTCCCCAGCCCCTGGTAATCACTAATAAACTTCAGTCTCTATGCATTTGCCTGTTCTAGATATTTCATATAAGTGAGATCATACGGTATTCGTCCTTTTGGGTCTGACTTATCTCACTCAGCATAATGTTTTCAAGGGTCATCCATACTGTAGTATATATCAGGACTTCGTTTCTCTTTATGGCTGAATAATTCATGGTATGGAATAGCACGTTTTGTTTATGCATTCATCTGTTGATGGACACCTGGTTCTCTCCACCTTTTGGCGATTGTAAACAACGCTGCAATGAGCGTTGATGTGTAAGCCCCACGTTCTGTGTTTTAGAGGTAAAACGGGCTTCTGAACATCAGGGTTCTGTGGTAACCATTGTTCTTTGTCCTTGGTCGGTGTTGGGGAGGAGGGGACAAGTTTACAGATATCTACAGGCTGATGTTGAAGGCGCTTTGGTGGCACAATGGTTAAGTGCTCAGCTGCTAATTGAAAGGTTGGCTGCTCTACGGGAGAAAGATGTGGCAATCTGCTTCTGTTAAAAAAAAAAAAAACACCCCACCGCTGTTGAGTCAATTCTGGCTCATAGCAACTGTATAGGACAGGGTAGAACTGCCCCATAGGGTTTCCAAGGAGCAGCTGGTAGATTCAAACTGCTAACCTTTTGGTTAGCAGCCAAGCTCTTAACCACTGTGCCACTAGGGCTGCCTGTAAAGATTACAACCTTGGAAACCCTATGGGGCAGTTCTACTCTGTCCTATAGGGTAGCTATGAGTTAGAATCGACAGTGGGTTTGGTTTTTCTTCGTTTTACAGGCTGATGTTACCCATGAGCTTGTGGTCTTTTGAGACAGCTGCTTCCTTCTCTAGAAGGCTGTCTTCTTGAGAATGCAGATGTAAAGGCCAAGTCACTTTCAACGCATTGCTGGAAACAGGCCTCTCTGCTGTGAGTGGCCTGCCTGGGTCACTTGAGTGCTTGCAGCTCCACCAGGGTCTGAGGCTGGATCTGGAGATATTCAGATAGGTGGGGGTGTGGCAGGCGCCTGTGGACTGGCAGACATTCCTGGGGAAGTGCTACAGTCTGGAGTGTTACTTCTCCAGCTCAGGTTACTGGGTGGTGCTGCCTGTGCAGAGAGGCGGTCAGGGGGGACACAGGGGCCACTGGTGGGGTCAGGCCCTGGCTACAAAGTCTCACCTGGCTCCCATCTTTTGGTGCCTCCGAGCCTGCCCCTGCAGCCGCTGCCCCAGGGCCCTTCTAGTAGGCTCACGAATCCTGCCTGGGTTCAATAATAACCATCATGAAACAGGCCCACATCCAATAGAAAGGTGGTAAACCCATTGCTGCTGAGTTGATTCTGATTTATAGTGACCCTATAGGACAGAGAAGAACTGCCCCATAGGGTTTTCAAGATTGTAATCTTCACAGAAGCAGACTGCCACATCTTTCTTCCGCAGATCAGCTGATGGGTTGGAACCGCTGACCTTTCAGTTAGCAGCAAATGTTAGCAGCTGAGTGCGCCACCAGGGCTCCTTAAAATGGTTTAGATGGTAAATTTTATGTTATGTCTTTTTTATCATAATTTAAAAAAATAGGGATTTAAAATGTCAATACTTGCATCTTCTCCTTTTTTTGCAATATCTGTTTTCTATAAGGCTTTAAAAACCATAAAAGTGGGGGTTAAATCAGTAGGTATCATAGAGCATTGTAAAAATGCCTGAAGTTTTTCCAAGATAATAAAAATAAAGGCATATTCATCTCTAGGAAAAAAAAAAATCTACCAATAAGGAATTGGTTAAATGATGGTATAGTCATTTTATGGAGTACTATGTAGCTGTAAAAAAAAAAAAAAAAAAAGAGGGGGACTGTATGTACTAACAAGGAAAGTGAAGAGCAGTAAGCTAGATAAGCTTCCACTGTGCTAAAGAGGGAAAAATATAATATTTGCTTTTTTGTGCATGGGTATTTCTCCAAGGAAATACAGGAAATTGGTAACTTCAGTGGAAGAATTAAGTAGCTGAGAGAGCTGGGAGACATTTACCTTGTAAATTTTGAACTATATGAATATATTAAACCAAACCCGTTGCCAATGAGTTGATTATGACTCACAGCAACCCTATAGGACAGAGAGGAACTGCCCAATAGTGTTTCCAAGGCTGTAACCTTCACAGACGCAGACTGCCACATCTCTCCCATGGAGCACAGCCCAGTGCTTTAACCACTGCACCACCAAGGTTCAAAAAAATAAATATTCCAAAATTCACACATAGTAGGGCCATGAGGGGATTTATGGGGTGGTAGTTAGGGACAGTGGTTAAGAGCTTGGCTGCTAACCAAAAAGTTGGCAGTTTGAATCCACCAGCTGCTCCCTGGACACTTATGGGGCAGTTCTAACTCTCTGTCCTATAGGGTGACTATGAATTGGAATCAGCTTCACAGCAATGGTTTTTCTTTTTTCTTTTTTTTTTTTTTTGGTTAAGCTCCATGACATGAAGCGGGGTACACAGGCATTTGGTTGACATCAGTTTAAAGGGTACATTTACGGTTGATGCACTTTTCTGTAAGTTATATTTCACAATTGAAAAGAACAAATAAGAAAACTCACAGACTGCCTGGTCCAGACTCCTGGAGCAACCCAAAAGATCAAAGAAGGAGGGTGGATCAGGAGGTCGGTCCAGTTTCACTGCCCTCCAGGCTGGGCAAGCCCAGCTGAGGCAGAAGCATACCGTGGTCCTCTTAGCCTGGTGCAGTTTTGGGCTGGCCTGGCTGACAGCCACTCCAGGTGGCGTGACTGCCCTGTCCGCAGCCTTTGTCTGCAGCACCTCCACTTACCTGCGTGGCCAACGCTCCATTGTTGGCAGAGAGGGTCAGGACCCGCCGCCGCCTGCATTATTGATGCCCTTGCCTAAGGCAGGAGCCCCGGGGTAGAGGGGGTGGGGGTGGGGGTGGGGGACGGGAGGATTAAGCCTGTGGCCTCGCCAGGGCAGAACTGTGTGGTGCGTTCCCAGAGGGCCGGGAACCTGGGGCAGCCAGATCCCCAGGAAGTGGAGGACAGGGCGCTGGGCAGCCCCTCTTCCCTGGGCACGCCATGGACGGGAGTAAGGGCAAAGCACCCCGGCGTGCGGCGGGACCCTGAAGGCCGGCGGCGGGGGAGCTGGAGTCCGGGTCGGCCAGCACAGACGGCGCACCTGGCCTTGACCGCCGACCGGGCCGCGAGGCTCGCGGGGCGAGACCCGCTTCGGAGCCCGTCGCAGCCGCCAGAGATCAGGGGATCCCTAGTGGCCGCAGGAAGCCCTCTGCAGAGGGCAACAGCAGCTGCGGAGGGTCACTGGCGGGACCGCCGCCGGAGCCCCCGGGGGAGGCGAGGCAGCGGGCGGCGTCGGAGACGCGGCCCCAAGAAGAACCACGAGCCCGGAGATGGTTGAGGGGGGCGGGTGGAGGAGAGCTTCCCCAGAGAAGGGCGGCCGGGCGAGCGCGGCCGTCGCAAGAGAGGTAGAGGGCGAGGACCGTCGATCCGTCGGGGCCGCCCGAAGACGCGGAGCCTCGATGGGGACACTTCGGGCGGGGACGGGGGCAGCTCCTGCCTGGACAGCGAAGCCCGCGAGGCCCCAGAGACTGGCAGCCAGAGCGGCGGGGCTCCGCAGCTGCAGCCCAAGTCGGGGACAACCGACACGGGCTGGGAAGGGACCAGATCCTGGCCGGAGTCAGCGCCGGAGTCAGGCGAGCGCCGAGCCGCCAGCCGAACCTCCGAGCCGGGCAGGGTCGTCGGAGGCAGGGCCTGGGGGAGCAAGGGAGGATTCGGGGACGGGGACAGACTCGAGTCTGGAGCGAGTTGGGTCTGGACGCCGCCGCCAGGCAGCCCCGGGGACGATGAGCTGGGGCCCTGAGGACGAAGAAGAGGCGCGGACGGCAGGGCCCCGAACTCCAGCCCCCTCGTGGGCAGCCGCGCGCGCGCCCCCCGGAGCTCGCAGGCTCCTCGAGACAGCCGGCTGGCCCGGGGCGCGAGTGACCACTGCGCGTCGAACCCGGAGAAGCCGAGCTCTCTGCCCCCGGAGAGAGGCGCCGCCAGGTGGGGAAGGTGCAGCTGGCGGCGGGCGAGAGCGCGGCGGAGGCTGGGCGGGGAGACAAGCCCAGGGACACTGCGCCGCTGGCCGCCCTCGTGGCG